TATATATATATGTATATATGTGTGTAAGTAACATGTTGAAAAGAAACCAATAACACAGAAACTGAAATAAAAATGTGACCTGCTGTGACTTGTGTTGTGTTTATGATAAATGCAGTCAGGTGAAATTGAAACTCAGCAGTCATGGGATTTACAGGAAAGCCACTCCCAGGCAGCTAAGTTTCTGTTTCCAAGAAGTGGCATGATATAAATAATTAAGTCAGCAGTGAACTCTAAGGCATTAGAAAATAGCCTTTATAGTGTTGACCTGAATCAACCGGATTCAAAGAAATCCCTGAACCATTATATTTTAAAAATAAACACGTACATAACAACAATAAAATGTTCGTTGAGCTTTCCTTTTAAAGAATGCCCTGTTTTGTGTAAACCGGTTTAACCACAGTATAATGTCCTTCGTGTAAGAACTTGTTTGATCTGTTTGTTTTCGAAACTTTAACCCATTTAGCTTAGAAGGACAAAAATATCACTGTGCTTGCTTTATGCTGTAAATTCAGCCATAAATGACATTCAATCAAAAATTTTTTTTTTTTTTATGTCCAGTACAATAGATACTTGTTTCTGAACAGTGTTAAAAGCCAGAATGAATTTGTATGTTCTGTCAATAAAACTTGAAATCATTTGTGTGTTAATACAGTCGTTAACACAAAGCATTGTAGATTTGGGTGATATGTCTTTAATATCTCTGTTGCCAAGGGTACAATGTAAATGGATCTCCCTCTGTGGGATTCAGATCTCCAACTCAGATCAGATTTTAATTGCTGTGCCACACCTTTTTTGGTGTAGAGACTAGAGAGACATAATGTACTAGGTTAAATGTCAACACAAAAACGTTGCTGAAATACTGCTGTTGCAGGCAAATGTTTGAATATGTTTATGCCGTATATTTTTATGGTTAGAATTATGCCATAGTTGTCTGCTTTGGGTGGCAGACTGGCATTACTCTGTTGGGTGCCATATCATACATTTCTGCTTTTTAAAAAATAAATATTTCAAAGGAATATTTATTTTTAAAAAAGCAAAAATGTATGATATGGCACCCACAGAGTAATCCTACAAAAAACCCTCATTGTAATGGATGCAAGGTCTGATAGGGTTACATGTTGGATTGCGTGAGTGTATTGTTGTGTTATGGAAATGTAGTTCCATAGTATCGTGGTTTCTATGAAAATGAATTCACTCTAAGCAAATAGACCCAACCCTCCCCCTTCCATTACGTATGAGGAAAAAGAGTGCACACTTTAGTCTGGTTTAGGTTTTGCAATCATTTGTTGTTCGCAAAAGCTTTAAACTTTTTTATATGACATTTAGTTACTGTTACTGTTAACCATTTAGTAATAAGTTACTGTTTAGGTCAGACTGAAATGTAACTTAAGTTCATGTAAATGTACTGACAGTGCAGTAGTTGCAGTGAGATATGAAACATTATGTAACCGTCACAAGGTTCAATGTGACCTCCAGCTGTGCTGTTTTTTACATGAACAATATAAACACTGTATATATATACACTGAACAAAATTATAAACGCAACACTTTTGTTTTTGCCCCCATTTTTCATGAGCTGAGCTCAAAGATCTAAGACTTTTTCTATGTACACAAAAGGCCTATTTCTCTCAAATATTGTTCACAAATCTGTCTAAATCTGTGTTAGTGAGCACTTCTCCTTTGCCGAGATAATCCATCCACCTCACAGGTGTGGCATATCAAGATGCTGATTAGACAATGATTATTGCACAGGTGTGCCTTAGGCTGGCCACAATAAAAGTGCCAGACGCCATTGTATGTGAGCATTTGCCCACTCAAGTCGGTTACGATGACGAACTGCAGTCAGGTCGAGACCCCGATGAGGACGAGGAGCATGCAGATGAGTTTCCCTGAGACGGTTTCTGACGGTTTGTGCAGAAATTCTCTGGTTATGCAAACCGATTGTTGCAGCAGCTGTCCGGGTGGCTGGTCTCAGACGATCTTGGAGGTGAAGATGCTGGATGTGGAGGTCCTAGGCTGGTGTGGTTACACGTGGTCTGCGGTTGTGAGGCCGGTTGGATGTACTGCCAAATTCTCTGAAACGCCTTTGGAGACGGCTTATGGTAGAGAAATGAACATTAAATTCACGGGCAACAGCTCTGGTGGACATTCCTGCAGTCAGCATGCCAATTGCACGCGCCCTCAAAACTTGCGACATCTGTGGCATTGTGCGGTGTGATGAAACTGCACATTTTAGAGTGGCCTTTTATTGTGGCCAGCCTAAAGCACACCTGTGCAATAATCATGCTGTCTAATCAGCATCTTGATATGCCACACCTGTGAGGTGGATGGATTATCTCGGCAAAGGAGAAGTGCTCACTAACACAGATTTAGACAGATTTGTGAACAATATTTGAGAGAAATAGGCCTTTTGTGTACATAGAAAAAGTCTTAGATCTTTGAGTTCAGCTCATGAAAAA